GTTTCGTGGTTTCCCGCACCACGTTTATGCACTACAATCTGGCCACTTTTGACTCCAGCGTTTCGTACGAGACTTCCTCCAAAAGTGAGGCGCCAAGTCCTCCAAAAAGCAAAGCGCCAAGTCTGCAAAAGCAGCGAAACAAGCGTTTCGTGCACAAAAGTAAAGCGCCAAGTCTCCAAAACGAGCGTTTCGTGCGAGACTTCCGGCACACGGTCTGTCACAGACTAGAAGCAAACATATCACATGATACCACCAATCATCCCGCTCACCAGCGACACGCCGCGTCCACACCAGCATGTTTCGTGGTTTCCCGCACTACATTCTGGCCACTTCTGAGTCCAGCGTTTCGTATGAGACCTCGTCCAAAAGTGATGCGCCAAGTCTCCAAACCACCGTTTAGTACGAGACTTCCTCCAAAAGTGAAGCGCCAAGTCTCCAAAACGAGCGTTTCGTCGAGACTTCCTCCAAAAGTGAAGCGCCAAGTCTCCAAAACGAGCGTTTCGTACGAGACGTCCTCCAAAAGTGATGCGCCAAGTCTCCAAAATTCCCGTGCTGCAGTTGCACTACAAACTGGCCACTTCTGAGTCCAACTCCGAAAAGCCCTTTCCCGCACTACATGTGCACTACAAATTGGCCACTTCTGATTCCAGCCCCAAAAGTGAAGCGCCAAGTCTCCCAAACGAGCGGTTCGCACGAGACTTCCTCCAAAAGTGAAGCGCCAAGTCTCCAAAACCAGCGTTTCATACAAGACTTTCTCCAAAAGTGAAGCGCCAAGTCTCCAAAACGAGCGTTTCGTACGAGGCTTCCTCCAAAAGTGATGCGCCAAGTCTCCAAACCACCGTTTAGTACGAGACTTCCTCCAAAAGTGAAGCGCCAAGTCTCCCAAACGAGCGATTCGTACGAGACTTCCTCCAAAAGTGAAGCGTCAAGTCTCCAAAACCAGCGTTTCATACAAGACTTCCTCCAAAAGTGAAGCGCCAAAGTCTTCAAAACGTACTAGGAGCAAGGACGCTATCAGGGGGCTGGGCTTACTACTAGGAGCAAGGACGCTAGGCTGCCTCCCAGTGTCACGCGTCCAAGATTGCAAAGCGGAGCGAGCGTTTCGTCCGAGACTTCCTCCAAAAGTGAAGCGCCAAGTCTCCAAAACGAGCGCTTCGCACAAGACTTCCTCCAAAAGTGAAGCGCCAAGTCTCCAAAACGAGCGTTTCGTACGAGGCTGCCTCCAAAAGTGAAGCGCCAAGTCTCCAAAACGAGCGCTTCGCACGAGACTTCCTCCAAAAGTGAAGCGCCAAGTCTCCAAAACGAGTGTTTCGTACGAGAATTCCTTCCTCCAAAAGTGAAGTGCCAAGTCTCCAAAACGAGCATTTCGTACGAGACGTCCTCCAAATAGAAGTGAAGCGACAAGCCTCCAAAACGAGCGTTTCGTACGAGGCTTCCTACAAGAGTGAAGCGCCAAGTCCCCAAAATTCCCGTGCTGCAGTTGCACTGCAAACTGGCCACTTCTGAGCCCAGCTCCGAAAAGCCCTTTCCCGCAATACATGTGCACTACAAACTGTTCGTACGAGACTTCCAAAAGTGAAGTGCCAAGTCTCCAAAAGGAGCGTTTCGTACGAGACTTCCTCCAAAAGTGAAACGCCAAGTCTCCAAAACGAGCGTTTCGTACGAGACGTCCTCCAAAAGTGAGGTGCCAAGCGTTTCGTGCTCCAAAACGAGCGTTTCGTGCGAGACTTCCTACAAAAGTGAAGCGCCAAGTCTCCAAAACGGGCGTTTCGTACGAGACTTCCTCCAAAAGTGAAGTGCCAAGTCTCCAAAACGAGCGTCTGATACGAGACTTCCTCCACAATTGAAGCGCCAAGTCTCCAAAACGAGCGTTTCGTACGAGACTTCCTCCAAAAGTCATGCGTCGAGGCGCACGATCCTCGCAGAGCCACCCGCGCGCAAACCGAATTCGCATTTCACCACACGTTCGAGCACTCGGCACGCATGATCCTCGCAGAGGGCGCAGAGGGCCACCCGCGCCACCACGCCTTTGAGCACTCGACGCGCGCGATCCTCGCAGAGGGTTGCTCGGGCTCAAACGCGATCGACGTTTCACCACACGTTTGAGCACACAACACACACGATCCTCGCAGAGGGTTGCTCGGGCTCACACGCGATCGACGTTTCACCACACGTTTGAGCGCTCGACACTCACGATCCTCGCAGAGGGTTGCTCGGGCTCAAACGCGATCGACGTTTCACCACACGTTTGCGCGCTCGACACGCGATCCTCGCAGAGGGTCACGTTTCGTGAGCTCCGGCCGGACCGTCCCGCCGCCTTAAGAGTAGAAAGAAACTTATAAAGAAGAGTTTTTCGTAGGTGAGATTTAGTAGATTTTTTTAGTATCTACACCTGTATCTCTACACCTGCAAAGCCCACATCTTTACAACCTACCTTTCAACACCTACATCTCTACACCTGTCTCTACACCTGCAAAACCCACATGTTATGTCATGATGTTTGATGTATGATGTATGATGTCTGATGATTATGATGATGATGATGATGATGATGATGATGGCGATGATGATGATGCTGCTGCTGCTGCTGATGATGATGATGATGATGATGATAAGGGCCATGAGCGGCTCAATCCCACTGCCCGCGGTGCCGGGGGATAGTGCGGACCCGTCTCTGCTGCATGGGCAACCCGAAGGAGAACAACACGGAGGCTGAGATCTTCGGCTACAGGTACTTTGCCCAACATTCTGCAGGACTTCAAGACCAAGCACACTTCCTCTCCGACCTTTAGGCTACCTCTGCAGGCACTTTCTCCTGCTCTTTGTGGCCGTGACTGTGTTTCACTTCTGGTTCAATGCATTATGGTCTTCTTTGTGACCTACCAGAGTACCTTGGATTCTTTGTCTCTTCCCTGGAGGCCCGAGGGTTCTGGGTCTGCCACGAGACCCAGTGGAGCCGACATTATTCAGGCTCCCCATGCCCTTTCCAAGGCGAAGCCAAGTGGCCCAGGCAACGAGCCTATCTTCATGGACCCAGTTGGGACAGAGGACAACTCCTCCCAGCCGCAATCTTCATCAATGAGGAGCATGATTATTTGGAAACCCCATTGGGAGACCACAAAGTTCCGAGTGACATCATGACAGCTCAACTTCGAGCCTGTGACGTTTGCTTCAAGCAGAAGCAACGCTGGATCACTCCGAATGGCAAGCCCTCGTCTTCGGTGGCTTGGCTTAAATCCTTTTATCGACAAAAAGCTGGACTTTGACTACATTTTCTCTCAGGACCTTGGCGTCTCCTACCACCTGTGCCTCGATGCTGACCATGGTCACTACCTTTGACGATGCCATGGGCACCGTGGAGTTCTCAGCGCTGCGGGTGGCTCAGGAGGAGACAGTGTACAACACCATCCATGATCACAAATTCCATGACAACTGGAATGGCAAAGGCTGCCTGGGCTGGATTTTCTTGACGCCAACATCCTGGTGGACAACCTCAACTTGTGCTACAGTCTTGTGAGAATTTCATCATATGAGGCAGCTGGCCATGAAAGCCTCACTCTGCCTGTTGGGAAGCTGGAGGACCCTTGGCGGAGAAGTGATCGGTGGGGTCCCTTTTTGCACACCGGCGGTGGTTTTACCTTCTGCTCCCTGGTCTGGCTACTATATTTCCTGGACAACAAGCTGGAGGTTGACCGCATTCCAACTTTCGTCCCCGGCGTCTTCTACCAATTGGGCTTGGAGGACCCGATGGACACCATTGCACAGCCATCAAAGACGATGACACATGGTGGGTCTACGACGACGTCATCGAACCGGTTAAGTTCTCAGCACTCCCACGGGTGGCACCAGAAAACTGAAGCCTGGTGTGGTTGGGCTGCACATCACATGGAGAAGCTGGGGGGGGTCTCTCCTCTTTTGGAGGATTCCCCCCTCCTGTCCGAACAGGAGACAAAGCGTCACATCTACCCGACCACAGGCATGGGCAGTGCTTGCAATGATTGGAACCACTGGACACCAACATCCTGGTTGACAATCCCAGCCTTAGCCAGGCTGGTGAAGAAGTGCATCATGGATGGCAGCTGGCCACGGGACATAGCTCTTCACCTCCAGGTGGCGCGCAACTCAGGGTGGGACGATGCTGGCCCCTTGGCGAAATATGTGCAGTGAGCTTCATTTCCTGTGCACACCCCTTGGTGGTGCGCCTGCCAGCCATTTCACAGCATTGGCCTCTATGAGGATCATTGCTGTCCGTGCTAGAGAAAGTTTTCTTTTTCCATTTGGAGTTGCGGTCACTCAGGAGGACCGGGCTTTTCTGGCTCGGCTCCTTGAACGCACTCTCAATGTCGAGGCTTCAGGCCTTTCGGGGCGCCAGGTGGGACTAATCGGGTCCACGCAATCATCGACTGATGAGTGCATGAAAGAAAGATGATGATGATGATGATGATGACGTGATAGTAGCGATGATGATGCAGAATATATTGGAAGATGATGTGAGCAAATGTCCTTTGGAAGAAACGCTTCGCAGGTGCTTTCGGGAAAAAAGTGCTGCGCCTGCCGCCTGCCACGCAAAATCACACCGGCAGAGCGGCGGAGCCCACAGAACGCCAGGGCGTACATCCAACCCCTTGGAGAGCACCAAGTGCTACGCCTGCCACGCAAATCACACCAGGGTGTTCAGAGCGCAGCAGGTGCTTTCCAAAGTGTTCATTGATCGCTGCTGTGAAGAAACACCAAAATCCAAAGAGCACCCTGGCGAGCGCGCCAATTTTTGTGTGTGTCATCATAACGCCTGCATCTGTGCTCTAGCATGCGCAGTGTTGCGTTGCAAAGGGTAACTGCAAAGCTGCTTTCCAACCCACAATAAATTGGCTGTGGCCACAAGATCATTCTTGAAGCAACTGATCTCCTCTTGACCGCTTCTGACTTGTGCTGAGCAACTCTGTTCAATGAAAAGGCCGCAGATTGAAGTGAAAAAAAGTGTCAAGAAACTTTTCCGGCACCTCGTCTACGTCGAAGGCGACTTCCTGGGCGTCTCTCTCTCTCTCTCTGCGTCTCTGCGTCTCTCTTCTCTCTTCTCTCTCCTCTCTCCTCTCTCTTCTCTCTCCTCCCTCTCTCTCTCTCTAAAACACACCGAGCCGTGTCGCAGGGTTAGCGTTGACTAGGGCACGCGTCACGCATCAATGCACAAGAGCCCATTGCTTTCACCACTCCACGCACCACCACACTTCACACACATTTCACAGCAGCACGAAGTCCATCCCAAATCGCTTCTGTTGAAACTTCCCTCCCTGGCCCCGAAGGATGAAACTGCAACTGAAATGTGCCGCCCAAGCTCAGTCCCATCTGACCGCGCAGATCGTGCGCCCTTCAATCGTGATCGCGCAAAGCGGTTGATGAAGTGGCCTTCAGCCAACAGTCTAACTTCAATGCCCACAATCCATTTTCATGCTCCAGGGACATTTAATACCAAAAATGTTTGGGGATTGAGGCAGTGCACAGTGCTGGCATGAAACCTTGTGCGCCAACCATCACAACCAAGCTGCTCATTGAACCTCAGCCCAAGTTCTGAGGGAAAAGAGGCTGGCCCACGGATATCAAATAGGGGAAAGGGATGGCAGGATATTTCGCCATGGCAAGTCTCGCCACGCCAAATCTTTACATATCTCGCAGTGGCGAGGCTTTACACATCTTGCCATGGCGAGGTTTTGGACGTCTCGCCATGGCGAGGTTTTGGATGTCTCGCCACAGCGAGGTTTTGGATATCTCACCATGGCGAGGTTTTGGATATCTTGCTATGGCGATATTTTTTTGTGTCTGCATGGCTAGGACCTCTGAAAAGAGCTAGCCATAGAGAAGGTTTCATGGATAGCAATTCTAAAGAGAGCCCGCCGTAGTCAATGATTCAACTCTGAAAGGAAACTTCCCAAGAAAGGAGTCTATGGCTAGCACCTCTGAGAGAAGCTAACCATCAGGAACTTAAAATGAGAGCGTTAAGAAATCCTTTGGCGTGCTAGGATGCCCGAAGGAAACTATTGAGTCACCAATCAAACCCAACCATGCAGGTGGACAAGTTATCTGAACGGTCAATGTCTAAAGCGAGGCTATGGCAAGCACCTCTCAGAGGTCCTAGCCCTAGCCATCCCTTTCCCCTGTTTGATGATGGGCTGCACTGCGCCGTGAGCCAGCCTTTTCTCTCAGAACTTGGGCTGAGGTTAAATTACCATTTGGTTATGATGATTGGTGTAGAAGGTTTCATGCTTGCACTGTGCATTGCCTTTATCGTCAAAGATCCTTTGGTGTGAAACATCCTTGGGCCCTGGAGCATGAAAATGGATTCCATGCTTTCACAAAAATAACGAATTGAAGGAGGGAGGGGTTGTTCGTAAACGCTTTATAAATTGGCATCGAGCCTGAAAATGGCCCTGCTATTCTGCTTGCCCCACTGATGCAAAAGTTGCATTCTTGTAGCATGGCTGCGGCTGTGATGCAACAAGCGCACGTGAGTGGAGATGTCGTCGTTGGAACCCGAAAAGCGGAAGAACGATCTTACAGGAAGCAAATTACCCACTGGATGTCTTTTTGTTTTTGGCCCCCCTTGCAACAACTGCGCCTCGCCACCGCCAGGAAACGCAGCCCTGGTTGGGAGCAGCACCTCCGGGCACCAAACAAGGCATTTCACTGGAACACATGTTGAACGAGCGGGCCTCGCCCTGGCATATTTCGTACCAACTGGGGGTGGCAAAATGACACAGGCACAGGAGTGCGTGGTGGCTTGCCAAGGTTTTCGCCCAAGCAGTCTGCGGACCGATGTCGTGTGCTTGTTAACCTCAGTCTGACCCAACCCGGTTCAGGGAGACCTTACGCTCAACCCTCAACTCAGGAAACCACAGGTCGTGGGTTCTAATAGGTCCAGGCGCAATGTTTTGGAGCGGGCTTTGAGGCACGCCAGGCATGCAGCATCGACATGTCCTTGCAGGGGGTGGCTTGTTGAGATCACGAAGGCCGACCCGACTGGCTGTTCCGACATTCCGAGCAAGCTTGCAAAGTCTCCAACAAGAAGCTGGCGACATAACCAACTCGGAATTGTCTTGAAAGCATTTGAACTGTGTCGGACATCTTCCTGACAGTGGTTGGGTCACGCCAAGGCCCTGACATAACTGCCATCTTGCAAAGCTTTCAGCCAAGCAGGGAATCGCAGAGCTGCTTGTGCAGATAGCCTCAGTTCTTCCATCTCAAGGCTAGCGGCTAGAAGCTAGCAGCCAAAAAGAGCTGCAGCATGTCTTGAAGCAGCTTCTGATGGCCAAACTCGAGAGAAGAAAGGCCCGACTCTTTCACAAAAGTGTTACTGTTGATTGCCTCGTGTGTCCACCGAGGTGCATGTCCAGCGCTTTCCGTATTTCCAAAGGAGGATCGCCCCCCCTCAAGCATGTAGATGTCAACAATACTGTCCTGCAAGAAAGAAGCGGGCATCTGGAAGCTGCACTCTTTCTCCAATAGCCCAACGAGGTTTGTGTGCCCAGTGAATGTCAAAGGCAAGTTGTGTGCAGCAGTCCATCTTCTTTCCTCCAAGAACTGAAGGCAGTTCCTGTTTCTTCAGTTTTCTTTCTTTTGCCGTTCAGCCCAAAAAAGCTTGGATTTGGAGCACCCACGTGTGAGAAAAGTAGTTAACATAGCAACTTTGAACATCAATCACTCGGGAAGTGGTTGAGACTAGGAGACCGGACACACAAGACCCCAAGCCGAACAAGTTCACACAGCATGAAATTGCATGACGGCCAAAAAGGGGGAAGTATACATATACAGCTGTGCTTGACCGAGGGCTTTCAGCGAGCTGCACACAAGCAAGCCCTTTGGCAGTCCTCACCAAGAAGGCCTTGGAATGATCGCAATTACTGGATTGCGATCAGGCGGCGTGCCACGGCCAAACAGTGTCAAATGCTTCTCATCCATCGTCAGTCTGCTTCTCAGATTAAATCTTGCGCGGAGCCGAGGTGCTGGCACCTCCACATGGGCCGCCCAGCAAAGCCATCTCCAAGGGCCAATGTGGCAGTTGCAAGGTGGTGCGCACCGATGCGCAGGCCCAGGGCGTCGCCGGTGGTTGACCCAAGGCTGCGCTGGCCTTGGCTCTAAGAGGTTCGAAGCAGTTCAGGCTGTTTGTGCTCAATATTGGGGTCTCATCATCTGGAGGTCTTACTGGAGGTGCCCGAGCAACTGACTGGCAGGTTCAAACACTAATATCTCGACATGCAGGGAAAAGGGCAGTAGCCTGAAAAGTTTCCATATCATGCGAAGCCCCCTTTCGCGAAATAAAACCCTCCAGTTTCTTTTTTTTGAGAAAAGGAACTGATGGTGGGTGAAAGGGGCAGTGGTCGGTAGCTGCCTTCCGGATATCTCTATCTTCTGACAGCTCCAGGCGAATACACCCTCACTTCTGGTCGTCCCTGAGAAGCCGCACAAGTCAAAACCCTTCGCTGTCCTGTTGGACAACTGTGACAGTTGAATTGGCATGTGCTATCAGAAGCCTTGAAGGACGCAGGCCCAGAACAGTCTGCCAGGCGACGCCAGCATCGATGAGAAGGTCAAAGTGAATATCCTGCTCAGAGTTGCTGAGAAAACAGGAGTGTATATTGTATAGCGGGCATCATGCACACGTGATACCTGTAGCACGTTTACAAGCGGCAAACTGCTTTGGGGTGTTTGGTCCGTCGGACAGGTCCAACACAATTGTGGGCAAAACCATTTGCTACAAACCAAACGTACATAGTTCATCAAATTCAGAAACAAGGTGCAATGTGCGGACCTAGGAAACTCGATCAGGTTTCATGCACTTACAGTATGTGGAGAGTGCATGTGGACAGTGGAGGGCGCCAATTTATCCCTTCCTTCGCAAAGGCCGGAAGGTCGTCCAAAGCAAACTGTGGGATGCCATGCACACCTAAATGCAAACGGAAGTTGGACAAATGGTTTCATGGGCCAAGGCCGAGGCACTGAGTGCCCAAATTGACGGTGTCAAGCTTTTGAGTCTAGACTGGTCCCCCGAAAGCTGGTCTTTGCGTGTGCTTGCCTCTGCCAAAAGATTGTGCAGCTGTGGTGGCGACGAGGCATAAGGTGAGCATAAATGTATCAAATCCGGATGCTTATCACAGCTTAGCTTTTGACATTATGACATGCAGGCCCAATATGTATATATATATATGTTTATTTAACCTAAGCCTAATTTTTATGGAAGGTCAAGCGCACTCGGTGCGAGACCAGTTTGGCCAAGCAACGGCACAGCTCCTGAACCTCTGATGTCACGTCCCAAATGTCCAAGTCGAGTGCCACCAGCTTCACTATCATCTTCTCCTCCAGCAGGTGCTGCAAATAAGCCACGCTGTGTGGAGTCCCAGCAATGAGGCCGATGCTTTGGAAGGACAAGGTGTCAAGCTCCTGCAGACACAACTCAGAGGGCTCCAAAAGCTGAGGAAGTTCATGTCCGGTCTGGAGTTGTGGCTCCAAACACTTAGCTGGAAGTTGAAAACCATCAAGAAGTCGGTGGTTAGGTTTTGAATGCCAGCCAGCAGGCTACAAGAATCGCAGGAGTTGAGTAGAGTTAGGCTGGCTGGCTCATCTCACCTTAGGCTGCAAACCAAGTCTCGGGCAGAATGGCGATCTTCACCGCTCCGCCCTGGTACGAAGAGGCCATTTCAAATGCGGCCTGCACTTTCCTGGGCTATCGTGTGAATGCAATATGTACCCTCAATTCATGTGGTGCAAATGCTGGTTTCAGGTTTGAACTAATAAGCATCTTGGAAGTCGTGTCAGCAGTCCCGCCAGCAACGCACTTCATGAGACAGCTCTCCACAAACACAGAAACAAATAAGGAGCCTTCAACAATGCTGATGGAATGCGAACTTCATCCAATGTTGCGGCGGGTCGATATGCCCATGTAACTCGGTGTGCAAACCGCTACACTGTGTCAGGCATCTCTAAAGGCATCCGGTGTGTAACAATCTGCGCGCATCTTTCTCGGAGCCTGGGTGTGCCGTCAAAGAAAGGGAGGGTCGAAGTGTTGCCATGCCCTCCAAACAGAGAAATTACAAATGTCAGGTGTCAATGCCTTGAGTGGTCTAAAGCCCTCTAGCTTCGTCTAAGAATGAGCTGGCCGCCCATGGCCAAACGAAAATAACCAACTGTTGAGGAATACGTTTTGAAATTCTCTCCCAGTGTGACACATCGCCAAGTTCTGATGCCCTTACCGACTCTGACTCTTAACCCAAGGAAAGGGAGTAGCCTTCAATCCACCCGTATGGGCTTCTGCTGTTCTAGGTTAAGGTGAAAGCTGGCACACAAGTTCACCAGAATGTGGTCCCTGAGCCAGGCCACTGCTCAGAGTGCACAAGCAAATTCAGGCAAGCCTGGAGCGTCTGGTTTGCACGCCGGGCGTTCAAGATGCTCAGCCTCGGGCACGGAGGTGTGCTCTAAAGGGCTCAGCTGCTGGGCACCTCAGGGGACCTGGTCGAAATAGGTGCGTGTGGTCTTCTACTTATCGATCAAGTCCAGGGTTTGGCTGCCACTGCTTTTGAGCAGCCTACTCAAACATTCCAAAGCCAATCGGGCTCAAAAGCTCCAATTGCTGGTGAACGACGGCAATGGAGTACAGCCAAGATGGAGGCGGAAGATCAATCTGCGGTCCCGCATGTGTTCACACAGGTGATGCTGGTGGTTCATGCCCTGCAGGATCTTGCACTCATTAAAGTGTGAATGCATTTCGGTTATTTGGGATTTGTAGTGAGCAATGGGCTCTATCTGGGGGAAAGTCCAGTGGCAGTGGCGCCCCCACCATTGCATGATTTGACGAGCTCCGTCCAGTTCATCATTTGTCTTCCAACCGAGAAACTCCTTGGTCCTCGCCACATGAGGGTTGTATTGCAAAAAGTCCACCTCAAGGTTCAAAAGAAAAGCAATTCCTAGTATGAAAACCTGATCATGCACACTGCTGTTTTGCATTCCTATGAAGCCACTGAAGAGCTCCAAAAAAAAACTTGTTTCTCTGCTCCTCAAAAGGCCACCTCAGGGATGCCCACGAGGACGACTTGTGCTGCCAAACCTGCCACCTTGCAGTCTGGTTGGGGTTGCCAAGATCTTTCTCGTAAAAACCGCAACCCTTTCCCTGCTTGCATCCAACAAACTCTTGAGTTTGGCCGGGCCGGGCCCTCGATCAAACGCATGCCATTGCCATCAAAGTACAAGCTTGCGCACTGCTTCTCTCCCCAGCCTGCAAGGCTGTCTTGAAGCTCCTAGGCTGGGCCAAAGCATCAAAGGCAAGTTTTTGTCCTTTTTTTGCCCCAGGGGTCCGCCACGTGTGTATGGACTTGGCTTGGGTTTGTTCCTTCACTTCCTACAGATTCCAAGTTCCAGCAGATTTGTCCTCAGGTGGACATTGTCCTGGTCAACGCCGGCTGTCTAGTCAAGCGGGTGAGGACACCCGGTCTTCTGATGACCTCAAGCCCCTCAGATCTCAGATCAACCAGGCGTCTGCTCTGTGCCCGCGCAATCCAGCACCAGTTCACACCCCTTTCGGCCCACCAGCTGCCGCAACTCAGCGGTGGCCAGCTGAGTACAGTGTGCACTGCGGGCGCCCAGGCGCAAGGACATGGTGCGGCCTTTGGTCGACTTCCGGTGGAACATAACAGTCCGCTTTCCTTTGCATGGTCCTGCATTTGATGCATTCTCTCTTACTTTTTGATCGGACCTACTGGCAGGCAAACGCGGCTGTCCCAAACTACAGGAACAAGATCCTCAATTGAAACTGTGGTTCGTGCACTTCCTCCATGAACCTTTCTAGAGTGCACAAATCAAGAAGTGCACCATGAAATCCAAAAGGGTGACAAGCACAAAACGATGTTTGGCTCAAGGATCAAAAAAACGCGAAGGCGCCCCACACCCATTTTCATAACCACAGGTTATGAACCCAAGGTTTTCCCTTTGGGCTGAAGAGAGGATGGAGCAGCGGATGGGCTCGGTCCTGTTGGCAGCCTTGCTGGAGGTGGTGAGACGGGACATTGTGTGGCCACTACGGCGACAAGGAGGTCACTGACCTCAAACCAAAGTGGCCAAGATTGCAGCCTTGGTAGGGGGACTAGCCGGTGTCTTGACATGCCGGCCATGTGGGACTGCTGGTAGAGCTGCGCAAGGCGGTTGGAGTTATGGTAGCTAGCTTGGCAACCAGCTGGAAAGCCGGCGGTGATTTGAGGAAGAGAGCCACTGGGCCTTCAAGAACAGAGTATTATGGAGATCGACTGTGTGGACATCAAGATCAGGTGAGGGAAAATGAGCCCAGAGCGACGGCTCAGAGGACGAGCCAATTTTCGAACCTAGCCCTGAGGGCTCCCGTGATTTTGCGGTCGACCTTTGCCATGGCAGCAAGCGGCCGCGGTTGGCGGCGATGAAGGCTCCGGGACCAGCGCCTGGCCAGGGACCGCCTTGGACCTGGAGATCTTTTGCTTTGCCGCCTCAAGATCGATGGGGCAGATTGGAGGATGGTTGGTGGGTGAGACATCATGATGTCAAGCCACGGGTGAGACCCTTTCACCCCGTCCACAGGAAGACGCACTTCGACAGTGGCCAGGTGCAGAGCCGGCGGATCACCGTGATCTGGTGCCATGAAAAGCGGGTGGTCCGTGATGATGACTGGAGGACAATGACGCAACCTCCGGTGAGTGACACCTGGGTGGGCTACACTGCACCTTTTTCAAGGAGATTCCACCCGGCACAGAGTGCGGGACGCTTCTCTCGGGTTCGAGCTCTTCAGCAACGAAAGAGCGAGGGAGCCGGACTTCGTCGTCAATGATCAGCTCGCTGACATCTGGGCCGCCACCAATGCCGGGCATTGCGGAACAGCCAAGAGAGGAGCAGCCGAGAGGGATGCTGGGCTATGAGAATAGGCTACGGGGTGAACTACAAGATCAACCTCAGGAAGGCCCACGAGGTCGGCAGGGCTATCCCGGTCATGATCAAGGCTATGACCCAGCCACCTATTCGGCACAGGGTCACGGGGCCATGACGGCTTGGCTTTTAGCGACGAAGAGAGAGAAGATTGGCGGCTCTCGTTGGAGGAAATGGTGGGAGAAGCTGAGCGAGACGGATGGCAGCGGTCGCTGGACGACATGGTGAATGAGGGATGGCGGGTGGTCAGCAATGGGTTGGCCCCAGCCCGTCGACAGGAGTAGCGTGGACCTGATCTTCCTGAGCATCCTGGGCCTGGACAGGCTCCTCCGGATCTTGATGAAGTACCTGTCTGGATGGGCATTTCCACGCAAGCGCCAGTGAGGCCACGGCTCGAAGGCCCTTGGGAGCCGCGACGCGGTTTTTCTGGAGCCTCAAGGTTCGAGAGGATTCAAGTGAGTCCGATGGAAGTTTTGAGATCTTTGAAGACCACCGAGGGTAGACGAAAAAACCTACCCGAAGGGTCTCTAGATGGCCGTAACACGGCCAGGGGGAGTGTGTGGTTCACGCACTTCCTCCATGAATCTTTCTAGAGTGCACAAATCAAGAAGTGTACCATGAAATGCAAACGGATGACAAGCACAAAACGATGTTTGGCTCAAGGATCAAAAAGGTGCGAAGGCGTCACACACCCATTTTCATAACCACAGAAACGACCTTCGAAGGCCCAGGTTTTGCGCTGTGCCCGAAACACAAATGTCTTATGTCTCTATGGCTTGCTATGGTTTGATTCGGCACAGGTTAGCGGTTAGCGAAGTAAGCCTGCGAATATAGACTTTGCGCATCAAGTATTAAGTATGACAACCCACTCCTGGCCTTAGAACAACCAGCCTAGAGACAACATTTCCATGAGCAAGCCCAGCCACGATCTTCCAATGGATCGATGATGTGGACATTCTTGGCGCCTACGTGCTTTAGCAGCAGGAGATGGCATAAACCAATGGCGCCAGCCCCCAAGATGGCCACGTCACCATCCAAGATCGACAGGATGGATTTCTCGGCCAGCTTCAGCCTCTTTGCGCCAACAATGCGAGGGCGAGGTTTTGAAACATGCAGGGGTTCCAGTCAACAGCTTTGACTCAAGACGCTTTCCAAGCAGCGTGTGAAGGGCCACAGACAAAGGCTCGGTCATCATAGCCAGCTCCATCGGAATGCTGGCAGGTAGCCGCACAAGCTGCAAGCTGCTGACACAAACCTTGCCCGAACTCATTTCTCGTGGTTCTCGTTGCAAACACTAGCGCCAGCTAGGCTCCCTCTCCCACATCTGGTAATTAACCTCTCTGAGACTGAGCAGACCTTTAGCTCAAAGAGCAAAACCAACGACTGTGTCCAAAAGCTAGCTTGCTGGATTTCCACAAGGAAGCGGTGAGACTCCTGAGGCCCAGTCTCCCATCGTACTGGATAACAAACATCGCCTCCTCCACCCTAACGTGTGCGAAAAATAGATTAAATACTGTAGCCTACAGCAAAAAACGAACTCGTAGTGCTTGCACCCCCAGGCCGTGCCCCAGGTAGTTCTAACTGATCCCGTTCGAGTTCGAGTTCAAGTTCGAGTTCGATGCGCGAGATTGCGTGGATCGAGCGAGAGGGGGGTGGACCAGTTCGAGTTCGAGTTCGAGATCGAGTTCGGATCGACACACAATTATCGAGCCGGGGGGGGTGGACCGGTTCGAGTTCGAGTTCGAGTTCGGATCGACACA